TATACGTAGTATTTACACTGTATATATACGTAGTATGTACACTGTATACATACGTAGTATTTACACTGTATATATACGTAGTATGTACATTGTATACATACGTAGTATGTACATTGTATATATACGTAGTATATACACTGTATATGTACATGTACGTAGTATGTACACTGTATATATACGTAGTATGTACACTGTATATATACGTAGCATATACACTGTATATGTACATGTACGTAGTATGTTCACTGTATATATACGTAGTATATACACTGTATATGTACATGTACGTAGTATGTACACTGTATATATACGTAGTATTTACACTGTATATATACGTAGTATGTACACTGTATACATACGTAGTATTTACACTGTATATATACGTAGTATGTACACTGTATACATACGTAGTATGTGCACTGTATATATACGTAGTATATACACTGTATATGTACATGTACGTAGTATTTACCCTGTATATATACGTAGTATGTACACTGCATATATACGTAGTATTTACACTGTATATGTACGTAGTATTTACACTGTATATATACGGAGTATGTACACTGTATATATACGTAGTATTTACACTGTATATGTACGTAGTATTTACACTGTATATATACGGAGTATGTACACTGTATATATACGTAGTATTTACACTGTATATGTACGTAGTATTTACACTGTATATGTACGTTATATTTACACTGTATATATACGTAGTATGTTTTTCCAGACTTAGACCACGCGTGTTACTGATGAAATTTTTCAAACTCTATGTTTTCAGGTATAAATGCAGATCCACGATGTCATACGATTTTCCAAGTGTTTGGATATGTTGTTACATGTTGTAGTTTACTCGTGGCATTGACGGCCATTTATCTGTACCTTAACACCCGACTTCATATTGCTATGCCAAAATTCCGACTAGAACAGAAGAAGAAAAACGCTTGGATAAAAGTACAAGACTCACTTTACAAAGGCGTGGTCAATATGATTCCACCAGCTTCAACAGGAGTAAACGGAGGAAAATTGCCTCCAATTAGGAAAGCGATGCGGAAAAGATTTTTATCCCTAAACGAGATACAGCCTTTTGATCTTCCGAACAATTCTGATCTGGAAAAAGATAATTTGGCAAAAGAAAGTAAAGAAGACAATATTGCTCCTTTTGGAAATAATCAAACGACCAATGAAGAAAGTGACCAATCCAAAACGGATTTAGAAGTGTCCATGGCAAATGGACAATGATTATATACATGTACATGAAGGTATTTCAAGCGAAGACAATGACGTATCAAGGAATACGAAAGACGAAACCAAATCATTCAAATAAGACCACGAAAAATATAGAAAACCCTTTTGAAAAGGAAATAAATGAGTAACATATTTCATACTAGTAGTCAATTGTAACTGTTGAGGGTCTCGTTGAGGAGTCCGATATCTGTATTGTTATCTTCTTTTTATCTCTATTCTGTATTTTGCACATAATTCCTTATTGGCTATGATTGATAGTTTTCCTGCAGAAAGTCGATGGTTTTCTCCGGATACTCCGGCTTCCTCAAACAATAAAAACTGGTGTAACCAGGGTAATGAAAGTGGAATAAATCAACAACACTCAATCAATCTATTCTTTACAATTCTGGATCCCATTATTCTCTATTCTGTTAACCCAATCCAGACCCTCATAATTATTTTCACCTCTAAACTTTTGTTTTAAAGTTTCATTCAGAATGATAATAACAGATAAAGAATTATAATATTTTAACATGGCGTAGTGGTATGTTTAAACATTTGTCGGCTTTTCAACCAACAATCGGCATTCCCATGGGAATCAACTGTGCTTCTCTTTAAGCCGGTTAAAATCATTTGAAAAAGGTTTCACTCATCAGATCGACACATAACACACAAAAAAGCATCTTACAAGAATATTAAAACACAGAGTACCGATCTGAGAGTACTCGCAGTAACTGAAATCTTAAACGCCAATAACAACTAAAAAATACATGTATCCAAGACTAAAATACCAATCTGTACACATCCAATAAATTTAGTGTAAAGACGTCATAAACAGTCAGAGAAAACAGGATTTTGTGCAATGGCAAGATATAAGTAGAGACAAAATGTAGTACAGTAAATGTTTATAGTAGTATAGCAATACTATTTAGTTGTGCTTTAATTTATTGATTACGAAATTAATGTTTGTACCGATAGACACAACATTCCAAGATCTAATCACAGTGGTAAAGTGATAACATTTTACAATAAGTTTATTTAAAGGTTCGATAAGTTAACACTGGTCGTAATTTAAATTTGCGGACTCTATAAACAACATCAAAGTAAAAATTATATTGTGATAATATTTCTATAGCCAAATTTCCAAACCAAATATTTTTAATTAATGAAAGCATTTAGTAAAGGTTTTAAGTGATTTGTGGTAACGAAATCCTTACATGTTTATAATAGCAGTTGTTTTATTTGTCTTGATTAATTGTTCAAACGAAAGAGGTATATCAAAGAAGCTTATTTAAGTCCGCCAAGTTTAATCAGTAGTGGAACCATGAACTACTAAAAAGGGGGAGTGGTTACATGTTAATAAGATAAGGAAGAAGACGCCAAACGAAATCTGACTTAATAATTTATCATTATAATCTTTATTGCAAAATTACACCCATAAGGGTCAAGCAATACAAACAAACAATTATACATTTTAAATACAATGCAATACAATGTAATACAATACAATATAATAGAACATATTTTAAGAGTTCAATTATAAATTTATGTAAAAAACACAATCATAAGCTTGTCTGACATAGGTCTGACCCCCTCAGTTCTAAAGACTGCTTAATAAAGACTCCAATATGACAAACAAGTTCAGGGATGGGGTTTAGAATGTGTTTTAGTTTATTAAATGCATCAAGATGTTGAAATAATGGTACATAGTCTTTTAGATAAGCAAAAAAATTAGAACGCAATGATATGTTAATGTCACAATACAAAAAGAAATGAAATTCGTCATCTAGGACTCCACATTTTTTTACATAATCTTTGTGCTCTTGGAATGTTTCTGTACCTTCCCAATTCAATGCCTAGGGAATGATCACTGAGTCTAAATTTTGAGAGAAACTGCCTATGTAAAAAATAATTGCAATTTAAATATTCCTCAGACTGACAATTAGTTTTTAATTTCCCATAGAGACAAAGTTTGGATGAGGAATCTAATTTTGAAAGTTTATTTAAAGTAGTTTTTTCATATTCCTCTGAAACACACTTTTTAATGTTACATTTTAACACGTTTTTTGATTGTCTAAAAGGTACATTAATATTAGAGTAATTTTCTGGGTTTATTTTCATGTTTTTAAAAATTTTATCTGCAAATGAGTACCAAGAATAAATTCCTGCGGAATGTAAATTTATGTTTGTTTGTAGAGTTTCTTTAACCAGGGGATTAATATCATTACAGTTTATTGTATAAAAATACATGAGTGTTTGAGTTTTTATATAAGAGTCCAAAGAAAATCTACCTAATTCTGATCTAGCACCTATGTTAGTGGCTGTCTTTTTCAGTCCTAAAACTGCTTTACAAAATTTAGAATGAACCTTCTCAAAAGGACATTTTTCTGCTAATGCAAGAGTATCACAAAAAGTATTATTAATATATTATATATAAGGTTCATTGAATTCTATGACGTCACTATAGACACTGTAATAACAAACGAATTGTGATATATAAAAACCGTAAGATGGGTTCAAAGGAACATCCCCTTTCAAAATAGGAAAATTAACAAAAGGGAACGAAGAATTGTACCAGTATTATGTATAAAGTTTCCTGTGTGAAACTGAAATATCTAAATCAAGGACAGGACCGTTGTTGGAGTTTGTATTTGATTTATGCTTTGTGGTATTGGTTTGTTCATTGTTTAAGGCCGTAGGGTGACATATAATTTCTTACTTTTACGTCATTTGGTCCATGGTGGCAAGTTGTCTCATTATCAATCAAACCATCTCCCTGATTTTTAGTTCATCTGACTGGAAGGGTCAAGTGAGCTATCCTCATCACTTTGCGTCTCCCGTCTGTAGAAAAACTGTTATGTTCTATATGTGTGTGTGTTATACTCTTTTCATTAAGCTTTTAGTGACGAAGTCTTCAAACAGAAAACAGGTATTTTCGATAGCTTTTCAAAGGCCTGAACCATCATTGCTTCAATGTGGCTTATTACTTAAAACAATAGCCTAAAACAAATCTTCATTTGAACTCTACCATTGTGCCCATTGTGCCCATGTTAGGGAACGATCATTTAACTTCAAGGAGGAGTTTTTTTTTTTTCCTAAAAAAATATCCTGATCCCCAATTCGACGAAAAAATTGTTTGTGATCAAGCAGATGACAAAAAAAACTAAATTCTGAATCCAGATTTTCCTCATACCTTATAGTGTTAAATTTTGGAAAAAAAAATTTATTGATAGCGTCGAAAAGCTAAAAAAAAATTATCCCGACTTAATATTTAATGCAAAAATTATAAAGAAATTAATTTGGAAAGCGTAAAAACACATTTGCAAGGTATACACTGTCCACACTAAGGACACTATTTGTACCGACAATTAAAAGCCGATAACTGTGTCCTCGGACCAATTTTATATAAAGCTTTCAAATTAGTTGATTCAAATTAATAGATTTTTACAGGAAAAAATATCAAAGAATGGTGTGCGACCCATAGGCGTAATGCACATATTTCTATTATATTTCAGGTTTTGTTCATATTTATTAATAAAATGTCCTAAACATGATACATATCTGAATTAAATTACTTGTTTCTATAATTTAAAAACTTACTTACACTTATGGATTAACGAATTAAGGCGATAATAAAGGATTAACATATTTTTTAATAGACAGGGTTCAATATTTACAGCATAGATCCGACATCAGCCAATTCTGGAAAATGGAGGTTCGAATGTAAAATTATTCCGTACACGAAATCAGGACAATTCGGAATGTTGATTTTATTAGTTGTGTTGTTGTGTGGCGCTGTGAAGGTGGATGGCGCAGCACAATCTGGATGTACTTACGTTGATACAGATGGATCAGCTCGAGGGGTATACGAATGTGATTATCCATCTGTCTCTCTTCCTTTGACGTATTCATCCTTCTCCAGTCCAATACCTCAAAGGATGAAGATTTATAATGTACATGGGCAACTTCCTGCCAGTAACCCAACATCCACATTTTCAGGATTTTCAGGAATGGGAACACTTGATCCCGATTATCCAGCATCTCTAGAAATACGATGTTCCGCAGGGGGCACGTTACTTTTATTTGCCGGAACATTTACCGGTATGTCGTACCTCCAGGAACTATCAATTATCAACTGTGTTATCAGCAGTGGATTTACGTCATCAGCTTTCTCGGCAATCGGTTCACTCAATTACTTCTTGGTGTACGGTGGCTCCTTGGCCACTCTGGCTAATGACGCGTTTACAGGCCTCGATATACAGAAGCTAAGCAGCGTTCCGGATCCGAAAGGTGAACTAGCTATGATTGGTGTTACGTTACCTAGTACAACTTTACCACAAGGACTTTTGTACTCACAGACTAATTTAGTCAGTGTAGTATTGGACAACCTCGGACTAACCGTCGTAAGAGCGGATGATTTTTCTCAGAATACTTTATTAGAGAAGATATCGCTTCAGTACAATGCATTTACCGAGATTTCCTCCACGATCTTTGATGGCCTTGACCTACTATTGAGTGTAAACTTGATGGGAACTGAATGGAATTGTACGTGTGAAAACATATGGATCGTAAATACGGCGAATGCGAGCGGATACGAGATAGAGACAGGATATACATGTACCACACCAGCGCTGTATGAAAGTAAATATATTTATTTTGGTTTTTTTTTTTTTGGGGGGGGGGGGGGGGGGGGGGAGGTACCAATATACATTAAGATCTATGGCTTTTCTCTCCTTTAAGAACTGTACCAGAACAATTTTTTAAGTGAAACGTTGTGTGCACCAAGAGTATTTTGATGATGGCAAGCACATGTAAATATTTTTATTGAAACGTTCTACAAAGTTAATTACATGCGTTCTAAAATCCAACACTCGTTTTTGATACTAAAACACCTAACTGACCTCTAATCTTTATGGTTATCTCTTTCTCTCTTTCTTTGACAAAAAAAACAAAAAACAAACAAAAACAACAACAACTAAACTAAACTGTAACACAACTGAGATATGTAATTCAATTTGAGTTGATCAATTTGTTAAAGTCAACGTAACACTATATATAAGTAAATGTATATTTCTTTATTGACAGAAAGGACAGGAAAAGAATACTACATCAAAGAATGTGAAATCCCTGATCCTTGTATCACGGAGGGCAAAGGTAAACATGTAAATCCCTGATCCTTGTATCACGGAGGGCAAAGGTAAACATTTAAATCCCTGATCCTTGTATCACGGAGGGCAAAGGTAAACATTTAAATCCTAGATCCTTGTATCACCATGATCACGGAGGGCAAAGGTAAAAGTCTTAATCCCCGCTACTTGTATCACGGGGGGCAAAGGTAAACGACTAAATCCCCGACCCTTGTATTACAGAGGGAACAGGTAAAAGTTTACACCCCACCCCCCATCTTTGTACCACAGAGGACACAGGTGAAAGTTCAAATCCCAGAATCTTTTCACACGTAGGGCATCGTTAAAACGTTGAACCCCTGTGCATTATATTCGGGGAGCAAAGGAAACGCTTAAAATCCCTGATCTTTGAATTACATAGGGCAGAAGGATAAACTTCGAGCCACTGCTCCTGGTCGGCAAAGGTAGATATTTTAATCCCTCATCAAAGTAATATAAAAAAAAAGCAAAGATAAAAGAGTACATCCGTGAGTATATAAGACTAAGGAGTAAATCCGTGAGTATAAGTGAAAGGAGTAAATCCGTGAGTATAAGAGAAATGAGTAAATCCGTGAGTTTAAGAGAAAGGAGTAAATCCGTGAGTATAAGAGAAATGAGTAAAACGTGTGTATAAGAGAAAGGAGTAAATCCCTGAGTATAAGAGGAAGGAGTAAATACGTGAGTATAACATGTATAAGAGAAAGCAGACTAATCAAACTTAACATACTTTTTTGCCTTTTCCTTTAAAAGCGAAATGTTAAAACTTGATCTTTTTAAGGGTTTGGTCCAATGTGTAGACATATATCTTTCAAATTGTACATTTTTTACAAGTATGTGGTAACCTATTTTTATTAACATATAAACCCCATCAAAGTAGTAGCCAAACATTTAATTTTGTCTGGAAATAAGAATTAAACTTTCTCGTCTGAATTATATATCTTTGTATATATAAAATGAGGTGCATAATATAACATCAATGAGACAGCAAATGGTAAAAATCAAAAATAAGGAGAGATACTTTATTTAAACACAAACCTAAAACACAAAACCTACGTGTATGTATAGAAGAACATACATCTCTTCCACAGAGAACATCAACAGACTTTAAATTTGTCAGTGTGCAATTATTAAAAAATAATACATATTATAAGTTAAAAAAAAGACATTTTCAGTTAAATTATTATATTCATTGCACGGTTTTTTCCTGGTAAAATGTATTTGTTGGCCATGGATCTAAATTGTGTATTGCAGGTTTCCGGTGGGGAGTGGAATGTTTTATTTTATACAATATAATAGCGTATGCAGTACTGTTATTTACCTTAATTATTGGCGCTATAGCTTTAGCAATCGTATGTCATGTCAGACGAGATTTAATTACTGACAGAGAAAGACTTATGAAGAAGAGGAATATTGCATGGATGAAAGTTCAACAAGCTCTTCTACACGGAGGTGGGGGTGGTCAAAGACCCCCTGCGTCGACAGCTCCGCCTATGCGTAAGGGATGGTAACGGAGACTTATCTTTGACCTGCATTATTAAAACAATATATTATTCTCGTTAAAAGTATACAATTGATTGTGACAAAAAAATGTTAATAAATTTTGAACGTAGTTTGAAATATATTCTCCCTATAGCAACACACACACACACCAACTCACATATATAGAGAAACAATAACGATTGTACTGACGATTTTTCAGTATGCGGATATGGATAGTAAACTGCACATTGCTAGAAAACAAAGAAATGTTGATGCCAATGTTGAAAACGTTAATGATGTAATACAACTAAACAGGAAATACGAAAACAGATTTAAAAAACATTGATTAACAAAAGTTTAATCTGCTAATCGAGTCCCTGTGGAATTGACAGTTTTCCCGCCGAAGGTCGTCGGTTATCTCACACACTCACTCTGGTTCCCTTCATCAATAAAACATGGCCGCCATAATAAGTCAGTATATTCATCTCAGACAAAAGTAAAACCTGATATAGAAAGTCAAGGAGTTCATTTGTTAGAAAGAACAAAAAACAATGTCTACGAAAAATGATAAAAATTTAGTTAACTAAAGATAAGTTAGTTAACGATTGCCACTGAAATCCGGGATGGATGGAAGGGTGGGTGAGCAGTACAAGTTATCTGAAGGATTGGTTCACGTCGAATCAAAGCAAAATGTGTAATTGCAATCATGGTAATCGAGAAATGAATTAAAAATTAAGGACAGCAAATCCTAACTCGTCTGGATATCAATTAAGATAGAAAATAAAAAAGCGTATTTTGCTTTTGAAAAGAAAATCTCAAAAAACAACATTCTAATTTTTTCTCGCAATGATGATACTGTTGAAATATTCGTAGCTGGACAGACCGACAAACACGTATACACAGAGAGTTATATATAAAAATAAGAATGGTATGATTGGCAGTGAGACATTTTTCCACCAGAGACTAAACGAAATAAAAGTTAACAAATATAGGTCACCATACGACCTCCAACAATGAACAAACTTTAAGTCCACACTGCACTGCAAACCATAAAAGACTCTGAAATGAAAAATAGAAAACAATTCAAACGAAAAATCTAACGGTCTGTTTTATGTACAAAACAATAAACGAAAAACAAAAATGGTTTATAGCAACAAATGACAACCACTAAGTTACAAGCTGCAGAATTGAGACAGGCACGTACAATAAGAGGGGATATTAAACATGTTTTCTGGCGCCAATTTCCGCTCACCCTATGACCTTGGACAGTGGTGTAACAGTACAACATAATAACAATTTATAAAAATCGGTTGAGAAAAGGCTTAACTCATCAGATGGATACAGATAGAAATACATCTAACAAAACACAGAGAAGACGTGGACAGGTACTTGTACATCCCAACAACAAAAATACACTAAGTACAGATCTGAGAGTATTTGCAGTTACAGAAAGCTAGTTCAAAACCAATAAGAGCTAATAATAATCATGTGTCTAAGACTAAAATTTCAATCAGTTCATATCCAACTTCCAATGAATTTAGAAAAAAGGTCATAAACAGTCAAAGAAAAAAAATGGCATCGTGAAATTAATCGCTTGCTCCGGAAATAATGATCAGAGCTTGTAGACTAAATTTATTTAAGTCTTCATATTTTTATATTACATTGTAACAACAATATTTCTTGCTGGGGTACAATCATGCGCAGTCATTTGTTTTTAGGCTTCTGTCATTTGCAGAGGCATTAACTCTCAGGGAACAGTCATTAGCAGAGCCAGTTTTGGAACTGTCATTGGCAGAGTAATGTGTTGCTAGGATACTGTCATATGTAAAGTCAACAAGCTGAGGTACTGTCTTACCGTAAGAAGTCCACAGTTCTTGATCGATGTTTAGGTTTCTTGTGTAGTGTTTTGTAAACTTTTGTCTGTTTTTATTTGGCTCAAACATTGTTCTTCAATTGTATCTACAAAATTCATGTCTTTCCTCTGAGTTTTGTAAGAATAAAGATTTAACGAGGCAAAACGAGTTATATTTATAGGTTAATTATCATTAATTTTTGTTTGTTTACTTTTTAATTTTCATGAATCTTTCAAAGTATTTTAATCGTACCGTTTTGAATAAACATGTAATATTTGCCACTAGATGTTGAGCATCTAACAATAAATCAATAAATTAGTGCATACCAGGATTTAATCTTAAATAGAGCAAATAATAACTTGTCACGATTCGAGAATAAAAACCCTAATTCTTATTAATCAAGATTAAATGTATTTTTGTTAATCTGTAAAATGTTACATTAAAGTACAACCGTTATATGTCTATAATATTAACCAGTTTTATAGGATCAAAGATTAGGAATTAAGATCGTTGTTATTTGAAAAATAAAATGGCGGAAAGAAAATAAGAAAATTAGAGAGACAATGAGGAATATGACACTACTTTTAACCATTCTGCTGTTTTGTATCTACAGTGGTGATGCAGCGACACCTACTGGATGTACAGGGGATAGTTCCGACAGTTCTATCATTCACTACACATGTGACATGACAAGTATTGGTGGTTCTATCAGTTTCGCTGGATTCACGGATTCTGAGCCACAGAGGTTAACCATCTACAGCGCTAGTGGCACAGTTTCTGCAGGAACATTCAGCGGTTTTAGCGCATTTAGTGGTGTAAATTCTGATTACCCGGCAACACTTCAGTTTCTTTGTACAGGATCACTTACATTTTCTACAGGGACGTTCGCTGACCTCGGTTATTTTGAGGAAGTTTTTATCAAAGATTGTACTACCTCTTTGATTGCCAGTATGTTTAATAGTCTTGGAACGGCAAACAAGGTATCTATCAGTGGCGGTACACTTTCAACCATTGATGCTGGCACCTTCACAAGCTTGGACATCTTACCAATTTCGACAACAGCAAGTCCAAGAGGAGAATTGAGCATCAAGAACGTAGTACTAACGCCAGGAACATTTCCCTCGACATTCTTTGATCCACTGACGAATATTAAATTCATTTACTTAGAGAATCTAGGTCTGACATCTGTTGATGCAGCGTGGTTTAGTAGCAACACAGCTCTCGTGTATCTGTCTCTGGCTAACAATCAGATCACAACACTTCCAAGCACTATGTTTGATACAACATTGGCGTTAATGTACATCAATTTACACGGTGCTCCATTGGATTGTACAGATACCAGCACAGCTTGGTATTATGATTACACTGTAGCCAATAACATCACTTTCGAAGGAGCAGCTGTCTGTTCAACTCCAGCTGCCGAGCAATGTAAGTTATCACTTGGTATTATGATTACACTGTAGCCAACAATATCCAATTTGATGGAGCAGCTGTATGTTCCATTCCGGCTGCTGAACAATGTAAGTTATCACTGGGTATTATGATTACACTGTATCCAACTACATCGCTTTTGATGGAGCAGCTGTCTGTTCCACCCCAGCTGCTGAACAATGTAAGTTATCACTTGGTATTATGACTACACTGTAGCCAACAACATCACTTTTGATGGAGCAGCTGTATGTTCCACTCCAACTGCTGAACAATGTAAGTAATAAGTTTTTGGTTTTTGATGTTATTCGAGCAATGATGGTATTCAGGTAGTGTATGTCATTCATATTATCTCTCAATTTCTTTTAAAGTAGTCTGTCGTTTTATTAATCAGTTGGTTCATGTCATTAAAATCTTTCGAACAGCGTAAGTAAAGGAATTATCAAATTTGTTGAACAACATTAGTAATCAGTTGTTTCATGTCATTCGAATCTGTCGAACAAAGAAAGTAATCAATTGTTTCATGTCATTCAAACCTATAGAATAACGAAAGTAATCAGTTGTTTCATGTCCTTCAGATCTCTCAAACAATCAGTATACAAGCAACACTCAATCAATCAATCACAGTGTACATGATCAATATTGAAATCAAGGTCATTATGACATAGTAAAGTACTTCAGAATAGAATAAAACAAAACAATTATTATAGAATATTCAAGATGTGTGATTACTACTTTCAGATAAAAGTTTAGCAGTTTGGGCACAGGCGTTTGCAACCTCAACTGATGAATGCAACGGGGAAATGGGTAAGACTCCATTTTATTTCATATATATATATATATATCATTTTCATCTTTAATACAAAATGTTGATTTCTTTATTTCGTTTTTTTTTTTGTGAACTTGTCTGCCTCTAAATCTATTATATTAAACGAATGAATTTATCATATATTTGTTTGCTTCATTTCTGCTTTTTTAATGGAAAGAATGAAAACGATTATTAATTCATGGCGCAAAATCCGACACTGTACACGCATTTAACAAAACAAACATCAAAATGTATTAATTTTTTGTCATCGTAATTCACAGTGAGACTTCAACACGCATCAATAGATCTCATAACGTTTTATATTCAAGGAGGCCCACAGGTGTAAGTTGTATATTTTGCTTTGTTTCGTTCACGCTACATTGCATATTCAACAGGCGGAGGATGCTTCTTGTTTAAATTAATTGCTAATCGTGTTACATGTTACATGCTACAAAGTAAACTCCCTGGTATGATTTTTAGAAATAAAGTTCATGCACTTCATTCTGTAGATAATCGGAACCGAAATTGAACATTTGCACCAACGACTTGGAGACTGAATGCAATTAAATGCACTAAATGTATGTCCTAAAAACAAATTTAAGTAACATATATTATAATAATACAACTATTTCGTCTGAGTTCATGTAGGAATTGATTCGCGTGGGGTAATAAATCAGGTTCATACACGTATACATGTTTTTGTTGTCACGACGTCCACCAATGAAATATGACTTAACATTGGGATTATTGGTTTATATTTTTTAGGAATAGTAGTCGGCGGCTCTTGCATTGGTTTATTTCAGTTAATCTGTTACTGTGTGACATTTGTTTGTCTGATATTTGGTATTGTTGCCCTTATATTGGTAATATATTTACGTCGCAGTACACTGAGAGCAAAACAAGACAATGGCAGTAAGGGAAACCAGAGGAAAGAGAAGAGAAAAGGGGGAAGACGGGAGAAAAGAGATTCAAATGCATGGACTTAAATATAAAACTTGTGTGCAATGACAACTGTAAAATATACAGACGGTTCAGAATCTCCATTATGCATGCCGAAACTTAATTTGTGTATTTAATTGTTAACTTATCTTTTCTTTTTCATTAAATATTAAAAGGTGAAATTTTAAATGTTGTATCATGATTTAGAAGTCTAGTTTATAACAATCCGTACTTTTGATTGCATGAAAGCAATCACGTGGCATTCCAATATCAAATTTCATTTCTCAATAAAATTCACGACAGTACGTGCTTATTATGACGATGACGTCACAACAATGCAAAAGAAAACAAACCGAAAAATTTGCTATAATTCGTAATTTCATGGTTGTAGCATCAATTGTAATCATAAAAATAGAATGCTTTTGTTTGTAATTTTATTGGGTGTTTTGTTTCATTTGACTTTGGTTTCGTGTAGGCCTTTGTCACGTAAGATCATATGTCAGAATAATCCGATAAGATGTTAATTTATAACATTTACGGTATCAATATATCTGTGCTAGATGCGCATTTCGACATGTCTCTTCAGTGATGCTAGAGGCCAAAATATTTGAAAATCCAAAACGAATAAAAAAAATGAAGAGCTTAGAAACCAAAAAAAAGACAGCAATTATAGAGACTTTGACACTGTCCTTGTTCGGTATGGGTGGAACACTTGTAACATTACAATCGTTATTTGATATAAAAGTAGGAGGTGTGTCGTTTGTGACTGAACAAAGTATAGACAAGAGTCCAAGTACCGCGGATTTAAGCAGCTATAGAATATCGTACATGTACGGCCTTCAATAATGAACAAAACACAAACTGTATAGTCACAGTACTGACCCAACATGGCTTAACCCTCTTACTGCGGCAGGGACATATATGTCTTCCCCTGTCTTACTGCGTGAAGGACATATATGTCCTTTGTGTAAAAAAAAATCGATTAATTTTTCACTTTTTAATATTTCTAAAAAATACCCTTTCCTTCATTTATTGAATACATTTTATATATTTTATTCATTATGTGGTTGTTATTTTTGTTGTTGTTTTTTTTTATCCATCTTTTTCATAAAACGTCATCATTATGTCATAGTATTATTTGACGTCATTTTATGTCGTAATTGAGTTGAAGGCTAAATAGCGCTATCTTTTAGAATGAACCTTTTAAATGCTTCGTATTGATAAGATAACATAGAATCAGAAAACAAAATCAACATGAACAAATAATCATTGAAAAGTACAAACAAAAATATTTGCTATTTGGTTTTAATTCTTGTATCCAACAATTATAAATATTTCAAACAAATGTCCTCAACTCTTTTAGATTGGGAGGGACACTGATATATGCTAAGTGTTGAACTTAGTGCTTGCCTTGGTTTTCTTACTTGTTTAAAAACAAATGAATTAAACAACGAAAAAGTCTACGTTGGTATATAGATAAATAAGTCTACAATTAATTTATTGATACGAATTGTTAAATTGGCATAAAAAAGCATTCAGTATTCTGAATATTTTTTTATGTTTTATTAGCTATTATAGGTTTAGTTTATGTGCAAAAATGAATAGATACTATGCAGTTATTCGAAACCCGTTAGTAGCAGGAATCAGCCAAACAATGAGAAAAGCCATTATACCGTATAGTCAGCTAAAGAAGGCCCCGACATGAAAAAATGTAAAACAATTCTAACATGAAAACTAACGGCATAATTTATAACAATACAATTTATGAAGAACATTTGACAGGCATGAACCAACGACAACCACTGAATTACAGGCTCTGACTCCTGACTTGGGACGTGAACAAAAGAGTGTACTATCTTTAAAAACGGCAAATTTTGAAATTCCTTCACATTTATTCAATGAAGTAACACCTTACGATGGTTAAATTTTAGACAAGTATAATTTTTTAACTCATATCATGCTGATACTGAATACGATGCTTCAAACAAAGATCTATATTTTCCTTATACTTCATGTGTTATATATATTGAGTGTAAAATGCCAAGTTGGAGAAAAAAATAAAAGAAGGATGTAATAAAAGATCTTTTCTAAATATGTGTAAATATTACATTGATATACACATATAAATTAACACATACGGTATTATTTTGGAATAAGTTTTCGTGAGTTATATTTCCCCGTATAGTTATATAAATTCGGAAGGGCCCTGTTATTATTTATTCTGTAAATATATATATATATAATGATAGTTACAAATAGTATAAATATACCATCGACCAGTAGTAATCAAAGAAATTAAGCAGTTATTAACGAAAATATTAGAACCGAACCTAAAAACCAAGAAACAGAAAAAAACAAACATGTAAATATATAGCTAGTAGCGCAACCCATCCACATTTTTGGCGGTAACTAGAAATCATGCAGGTAAAAAGGTGTGCTCGATTTGGATTTATCATTCGTCAAGCGTCAATGTGATATGATAATAAATTTGACATATGAAATAATATGATATGAATACATGTATAACATAGAAAATAATAACCATAATAAACACAAGAAATATTTCATGTGATGACACTAGCGTCGGTGCAACCATCGTCTACAAAGAAAAGGGAACAAGACGATTACAATGCAGTGGCGGATCCAGAAATTTTCATAAGTGGGGGCCCACTGACTGCCTAAGAAGGGGCCCGCTCCGTTCATGCTTCAGTGATTCCTTATATAATCAACCAATTTTTTCCACAAAAGGGGGGCGGGCCCCCTGCCCCCCCCCCCCCCCCCCCCCCTTTGTTCCGCCTCTGCAATGTTTCACTGGGGGAGGATATTTCCGGAGAAAGATACATTTTACAGTATATATAGCAAAACATTTCACAGCATTGATATATTTTTGGCATCTTTAAACATTTCTATTAAAGTAAAGGATGTAAATTGTGCATGCTTGTGCTTGTGTGCATGTGTAAACACCATTAATCTTAAATGGGTCTTTGTTAAGAAATCAAGGCTTAAAATTAATTGCATCATAGTTAAACCAATAAAATGTTGGCCTTTTTTAGGTGTGACGATATTTATTTTAGGACACATGCATCCTTTAAATCTGAATACTAGTAGACAATGGAAACGGGGAATGTGTCAAAAAGATACAACCCGACCAAAAGGCAGAAAACACCACAATGCAACCAATGGGTCTCCAACGCAGCTGGCCCCTAAACCAATAATGTAAAAAATCTTATTTTGACAGTTCAGATTAATTTTAATATAAGCGTGCTATGAAAATACATGTACAGGTGCATGTACATAGAAAACACAATTAAAACAAAAGAAACGTGTATTGTATAGGTTATAAGGGAGCTATCATTTGATTTTTATTGGCCGGGGGGGGGGGGAGGGGGAGTGAAATTTGAAAAAAAGCAGGACAGGAGTTTTGAGTTAAAAAAAAAAGGCAGGATGAGCAACTTGGTAAAAAAAAGAAGGCAGGATGACAATTTATGTAAAAAAAAGTCAGGATAAACTAATACAAAAAAGGCAGGACCAAACAGAGTGAAAAAATAAAAAAGGCAGAACAGAGATTACAACTAAAAAAAAATACAGGACAAGATTTTTCATCCTAGCACCCAACCCCACCACCACCACCACCACCACCAACACCACAAAAATCACAAATGGTAGCTCCCTAATTATATACTGCGTTTGGAGAGTCATTTACAAACTTTTATAAATTATTAAATATTATATCAATTTGAGCACATTAAATCTAATAACACAACACTGTTAAACTCAGATTATATTGTAAAACTTGCTCATCGTTTGACTTAAAAGCTTTATTATGCTTTGATATTCCAAAATATGAGCGATCACTTCTCACAAAAATAAGAATAAGTGCACAATCACTTGCTATTTAAACGGGGTTATCCAGTTTACCAAAAACTTTAGCAACTGAAAGTTTCTGCAAATTTTGCGGAGATAAAGCAGAATATGGTGTGCACTTCCTTTTATAATGTCCCCTATATAAAAAACCTTTGAGAGAATTTAAGTTTTCAAAAATTGGTTAAAGATGAGGTTATGAAATCAGTAACATTTAAGGAATGACTGTAATGTTTTCTGTCTATGAAGAAATAACATCAAAAATGTGACACACCCAATAACCAGCGTAGCGGGTTATTTTAAAGTGTGCACCACATTTTTCATGTTATTTCGAATAGACAGAAAAAATATTAGTCATAACTTATAATTTAATTCTAATTTCCATTTTAAGCCGCAGTAAATCACGTTGATGACATCGCGGTCATCACGGTCACATGACAAAATTATGTCTATGAGCTGATAGACAAACATTGGCAGCCACTCAGGAGACGCGTTTCATCCAAATTTAAATTATATTTAATTAATCAAAATAAGTTGGCTGATGCCAACCAAATTTGTAAAAATATGAGATAAGCCTTTGAATATAAAAAAAGGAGATGTGGTATGATTGCCAATGAGACAACTATCCACCAAGGTTCAAATGAAGTGGATGTAAACAATTACAGGCAATCGAACGGCCTTCAACAATGAGAAAAACCCAATTTGAAGTTAAAAACTATGCTTAGTGTCAGTTAGGCTAGCATAAGTAATGGAAGTACCGTACAAGAAAATAGACTTGTAGTTATATTTACAGCATATAGTTAATTTTTTCTTATTATGCATTATGTTTTATTTACATTTTTTGACACATGTATGTTGTACACTTGGATTACGCAATGTCATATTTTATATATATACATGTGCTTTATCCAATAAAATATTTGATTTGATTTAAGATAACCAACCGAAAATATGTAAAACTGACATGAAATTTTGTAAAGTATAGTGCTGTTTTGCAAAAACTGAACGTTTTCTTCCAACCACTGCAAAGTGCTTGACGTTAGCTAATTGAAAAGCGCGAAACTTGCTAAGAACGTGACGTGAACACCATTATGACGTTATGTAATGTCAAATAAATAACGTTATTTTTTGAAAAAATAAACATCTTGATTTTATATCTTAGTAATTATTCAATTATTTAAGTTAACATGTTGTGATTCAAGGCTGAATAACAATTTACTGTTTGTGGCATTTTTTACTGAAATTGTCCCGTTTCTGGACAATGTTTTGAAATTTCGATACGCACTAAGAGGGTTAATGTGTAATAGTTCAAACGAGACAACCAACGGTATGATTTATAACAATGCAATTAAAATAAGAAAAAAAAAGTTACAGACAGCAACCACCAACAACCAATGAATTACTGAACCCCGTGTCTCACCTTAATTTGTTAATGTCAAGGTATCAGTCACACAATTATCAATCGAAGACCATATATAAAAAATAAGGAGATTTGGCATGATTGCCAATGAGACAACTACCCACCAAAGTTCAAAAGAAGTGGATGTAAGTAATTATAGGCAACCGTATGATCTTCAACAATGAGAAAACCCAATACCGCATAGTCGTCTATAAAGTCCCCGACATAAAAAATATGAAACATTTCAATTGTGAAAACTAATGGACAAATATGACAGACATAAACCAATGACAACCATTGAACTACAGGCTTCTGACTTGGAAAAGGCACACAAAGAATGTGGCGGGGTTAGACATGTTTAAAAGGCGCCAATCCTCCCCTAACCTGGGACAGTGTTGTAGCAATACACAATAAGAACAAACTATGAACTCAGTTGAAAAGGGCTCAAATTTCCCGATCTACACAAAGTAGAAAGACATCTTAAAGAACAGACCGGACGTGACAGGGAATGTATGAATTCCTCACAACAAAAAAAGACACAAAGTACAGATCTGAGAGTACTCGCCGTCACTGACAGCTAGTTCAAGGTCAATAACAACTAATAAAAAAAACATGTGTATAAGCCTTAAACGACTTAAATATCACCCAGTACACATTCAACATCCAATAGATTTAGTGTAAACACGTAATTAACAGTCAGGAAAAAGACATGATCTTGTGCAATGACAAGATATAGGTATCGACAATCAAGATAACTAAAGGCTCTAAAGAGCTTGTGTCGCTAACCTAGGTATATGTGCATCTTCAACATTGGGGACTCGAATATAATTTCAAAAATCTCTTGTTTATGTTGATCTTGTATTGCTGATCATTGTTTCTGTTTACAGTTTATCTCTAGCTTTTAAGTTTTTGGCCAAAGCACAAAAAGGGAAACAAATTGCAATTTAAAAGCAATCATTTATATCAAGAGTCTAACAATTTCTGCATAATTTGATTTATTTGCAGATCTTGTCTCCAATAAGGAGTGAGTTAACGATTTGTTTTTCTATAAAATTTTACATAATTTGTAGATCTTGTCTTGGTGATCATTTTTTGCTAATTTAAGTTTCTGTCTATCTATTACAGTTTTTCAGATATTAGGCAAAAATGAAAAACAAAATGGTAAAAATCGTCAATAAACGGCAATTTACCCAATAAGAGGGAGTCAGACGTTTTAGTTTTCGTAACTGATTATTTCTAATCAAAATGTATTGCAATGTCTATTCAAAATGACCATTGATGTGATAAAATGCTGGCGATGTTTTTAAAACATTTTTTAAAACAATACTGTTTTACCGAAGGCTAGTCACGATTATTTTTCTAGATAAAATTCTGCAATGTACAAAAATGTAAAAAACATTTGTAGTATTATCAGTAACTATAAGTCAGAGTACTATTTTATTAGTTGTCCTCCAGGAATAACAACGGGATCTGAACCCGGATCCCATTTATCACTGTAGTAATAACGCTTGTAATTTCACGTGTCCCGTCGGACTTCGTTTCCCGTTTTCACGCACAATAATTTGACTTTCACGAGTCACGCTTACAAGAAATTGGTCAAACCCGCGTCACGCGCTTAAACCCCAATGAGACCCACTAACAAGTGTAAATATCTTTAACTCAATCATATTTTTGTATGTTTCTTATTAATACCTTTAAGTTAACACTTTATTATTTTATCTTACTTATATATAATCCTATTACTTTTTGTTAAACTGTATTTTCTAACTTCGAATGTAGGACATCTTTAGTCCCTAAATGATTTAATATTTATTTTCGTAAGATCTTATACCTTATTAAGTTCTAATCCATATTTTGCAATATACTAATATTTGAACATGTAATACATATTAGTCACGGTTGGTAACATTTATAACGATCAAAAGATTAAATCGAAAAATTGGAAATTAAAAGTTCACCATAATTTTTTGCCCCAGCGGAAATAAGAAATGTGATTGTTTTCGTTAAAATGTAGACCATCATAGTCTGATTCCTGCTGCAGATTTTATTTACATGATTACGTTTGAACTTTAAAACAAGATGAGAATTGTAGAAGTGATTGTGTACTTCTGTACAACGTACACTGGATTTGTGTATTGTGTACAGCCTACCGGATGTACATACGACGGTACAGATTCATCAACAGGTATCTATACGTGTACATTCGGAGGTTACACAGCACCACTTACTTTTACCGGGTTCACTGATCCGTATCCACAGCGTCTTATCATCAATGCTGTAAGCGGCACTTTACCAACAAACACTTTCTCAGGCTTTTCATCGTTTGTCGCTAATTTGATTGATCTTGATTATGCGGCAAGCTTAAAGATTATTTGTAGTTCTGGAGGAACACTTACGATTTCACAAGCTTTATTTTCGAGCATGAGTTATCTACAAGAACTGAAAATAAGTAACTGTGACATTCAGTCGCTTCCTTCGAGTGTTTTCTCAAACTTAGTAACACTCAATTCTCTCTGGATTGAAGGAGGTTCAGTTAACACACTAGCATCTAATATTCTTACCGGTTTATCTATAGAAAAACTTGATGTTCCCGTCCCGACCGCCGAATTTGTAATAAAAAACACTGTGGTTTCCGGTAATCAAATCCCGGTTGGTATGCTTGATGGACTGACTGATGTCAAATCAATTAGATTCGACAACATCGGACTGACTTCTGTTGATGATGCACTTTTTAGTCTGAATACAGCTTTGACGTCTTTGTCACTAGCTAACAATGTTGGGATAACAAAGATAGAAATTGCTATGATTAGCGCCCTGGAGGGGTTGTCTTCTCTTGATCTAGATGGTCTCCCGTTTGATTGCACGTGCGATAACTTATGGATCCTCACTCATGCGACAACGAATGGTATAGCACTACCATCAGGAATCATTTGCAGCACACCTGCTGAATATCAGAGTACGTATATGTTATAACGGCTAGTGTATATATATATAATATGTCTAAACAAGTATATCTCTGCTAAAAAAAATAAAAAAAATAACAGTTTATTATCTATTTAAAGATCGATATCCTTTCAAACATTTTATAAAATCGTTTTTTGTTTATTTTCATAAGCATTCATTTGAAGGACATACAAGGAAAACGGTATTAATCAAAATAGTAAAAAGATAATGATTTAAGATATTAACCTAATTAACTATAAATATAATTACATTTGAAGACTTTGTGTATACAGTGTAAATAAGAATTTTGCTTTGCTAAGTAGTACTAGGATATTACCGGTTGTTCGCTTGCTCCTCATAAAGAGAACTTAACAGTTCAAATTTAATAGATAAACAAGTGATATGGGGGTATCCATCCATGACACAAAACCAGGACATGCTCAGCTAAAAACACACACAAAGCAAAGAAACAGCGCTTTTATTGTTGTTCTTCATCTCAAAGTCACAGTGAAGCCTTCAACAAGGAGCAACAAAAACCTTTCACCTCACTGCAAGGTCAAGACGGCCCCTAGCATTGGCTTTATTACATTTAATACTGGTTACATTGCTACAAAAGGGCGACACTAGCTCATTGTCGACAGAAATGGCTTATTTCGGAAATAAAAAAACAAAAATAAAAACAAAACTCTCATGTGTATGCTGAAAAATCGAATGCTACTGTACTATTCCTTTCTGATTGGCATGGTCATATTTTATTCAGACAAGAAAGCCTCCAAGTATTATGATGAGATGTGTAACACTGCAAACGCTTGTGGAGATTTACCAGGTGAGTAGGACGTTTTAATATCAAACTGGAATATACCAAAGGAACAATCCAAATTCATAAGGCGAAGAAAAACGACGACAAGACCTTCAAAATTATACATAACTCTACATGAAAACTTAACATAGACAACTAGAACACCAACATAAAACCTGGGATGATCTCTGGTCTACTAAACCATGAATTTAAAATATCATATTGTGGACCTCACTAGTATGCTTATATTATCGATATTTTTCTAGTGTGTAAGTGTGTATGGATTACTTCCGTTTAATTAAATAACCTCTTTATATTAAATCATAATTTTTAAACCATCTTCTGTATTCCGAAAATTTGCATTTGATCGCGTTGGACATATTGTGTCATAAATTTGTTGAAATTTTTGTTTGCAATTAAAAAGTAAATTAACTTCCTGAAATTTGTCTTCTACTGACAATAGACTAATTCAAGGAATACAAAGTGGCATAAAACCTCATAATGCATTATTAAAATGAAATAATACCACAAATCAAATATATTGCAGGTATAACCTTGGGTCCTACGATATGCATGACTGTTTTCGAGATTGTCAGTTACTGTATCCTAGCTGTAACCATGGTGATAGCTATAGTAGCACTTGTTATCATATGTTACGTCAGAAGGAAACTGGTGATTGCCAAGGAAAATCTGGAGAAAAAGAGAAATAGTTCGTGGGCACGTGTTCAGAATGCGCTGAAGAAGGGCGGAGCATCTGGCCAGAAACCACCATTGAGATCGTCTCAAGTAGATGGATGGGTGTAACGAAGACTGAGTACCGATAGATATCTTTGTTTGCTGCCTGAACTATGCAGCCTTTCCTAAATTGTTTGACAAACATATACACTGCATATAATTGTTAAAACGGAAAGATACTTGAAATATGTAACTTAAACAAATTTTAATATATATTCATGGAATATGTTTGAATATAATAAAATCATTATACATTCATATAACTGAATTAAGAAGTCATATGATTATCCATTGTTGTACATGTTTGTTTGGTTTAGCTCCCACAAACAAGTTTGATATGCAACACAAACAAATCAGATATCAAACACAAGCTCGTCTGATATCCAACACAAACACATCTGATATATAACACAAACTCGTCTCTGATATCCAATACAAACACATGTGATATCCAACACAAACACGTCTGATATGAAACACAAACACGTCAATATCAAAAGCAAACACTTTTTATATCAAACAAAAACACGTCTGATATCCAACACAAACTCGTCTGATATCAAACACAAACACGTCTGATATCCAACATAAACTCGTCTCTGATATCCTATACAAACATGTCTGATATCCAACACAAACTCGTTTTTGATATCCAATACAAACACGTGTGACATCAAACAAAAACACGTCTGATATCCAACACAAACTCGTCTGATATCCAACACAAATACGTCTGATGTCCAACATAAACACTTCTGAAATCTAACGATAACAAGTCTAATATCAACAAACACAAGTCTAATATCCAACACAAAACCATAAATATCCAACATAAACACGTCTGCTATCAAACATAAACAAGTCTGATAAACAATGCAAATATGACTGATAATCAACGCAAACACGTCTGATATCCAACATTAACACGTCTGAAAAACATCACAAACACCTCTGGTATCCAACCAGAACAAGTCTGATATCCAAAAACAAAAAACACAAGCACGTGTGATATCCAACACAAACATGTCTGACAAACAAAACAATAAAATATGACATTCAGCAAAAATTACAAACACGTCTGATATCCAACACTAACTCGTCTTATATTTTACACAAACACATGATTTCCAACACAAACACATCTGATATCTGGCACACACATATCTGATATCCAACATATGCACCTTTGATAACCAACATAAACACATATGATATTCAACATACACACACATTTAATATCCAACACGAACACCTCTGATATTCAGCACAAAGAAATATAATATCAAACTCAAACACATCTGATATTCAACACAAACACATATTATATCCAACATATGCACTTCTGATATCCTATAAAAACACATAATAACCAACACAAGCACATTTTATACCCAACACAAACACGTCTAATAGCCAACACAAAACATCTTTGATATACGATCCTGGTAAATATTAACTCCGGAATATATTACAGTAAGCAGATTTTACTTTTCGGAATAATTTTTTTATTGCTGGTATCTACTCTTATTGTGACTTTTACTGTTGCGGTAAACAGTGAGTATTTACGACACATAAAAAGATTCAGTTTAAAATCATTCTTGTTGATGATAAGTGCATAAATTACAGGGGTGGTTGGAGGTGAAAAAGTAAAATAATACTCTGATTAACAACCGTATTTTGAAAATAAGACAAAACATCTGTAACCCGTTAAATATACGTCAGGGCCAAATTATCAATTTTATTGAACATAGAAATATATCAGATTTATTCATCTACAATTATTAAATGCATTAAAAGTCAACGTTCGTTTAGATCTATAAAGAGGTTAAACTCCTAACTATCCTACTGTCTGTCGATAGATTTATTTTTGGCATTGCACTAGTCATGTCTTCTTTGACTGTCCATGACGTTAAAATACTAAATCCCTGGGATGTGTTTTAGTTGATTTTAGTGTCTGATGCATGATTTTTTATTATTAATTGTTTTGGCTTTTAACTAGCTGTCAGTAACTGCTAGTACTCTCAAATCGTACTTTCTTGTTTATCTGACCTGTTGATACTAATTGTATTGCTTTTTTGTTATTTAATAGTATTCAGGGTTTTATCTGGTCTATATACCAGCTTTGATAAGTGTTTGGTATAACTATAAATTTTCACTTCGTACTATGAACATCAAAATTATTTATTTTGTAAAAATATTTCCTTTCTCCATTGGTACTACACACGTATACCTAACAACAAAATTATTTTCATTTACCTGTGTTTTAAGTTATTGCAAATGGATGATATTTGTGTTCGAGCATATTGTTTTTCTTTAATTGTTTAACATTTCTTACCGATATACATGTTACTTTTATTATTCTTCCCTTAGTTTATTTATTTTGTATTTACATTGTGTCATAGGTCAAATTTATTTGTTCAGTGTATGTTCAATGGTGTTAATATGTCCTTTGATTGAGTTAAGCTATTTCAGTTGATATTTTATAGTGTGTCTTTCTATGTTGTGATGTTACACTATTGTTTCAGAAAAAGGGTGAAGGTTTGGTACCATTAAAACGTTTAAACCCGCTGCACTTGTTTGCACCTGTCCTAAGTCAGGAATCTGATGTTCAGTAGTTGTCGTTTGTTGATGTGGTTCATAAGTGTTTCTCGTTTCTCGTTTTTTATATAGATTAGACCGTTGGTTTTCCCGTTTGAATGGTTTTACACTAGTAATTTTTTGGGGCCCTTTATAGCTTACTGTTCGGTGTGAGCCAAGGCTCCGTGTTGAAGACCGTACTGTGACCCATAATGGTTTACTTTTATAAATTTTGACTTGGATGGAGAGTTGTCTCATTGGCACTCATACCACATCTTCTTATATCTATTAAGTATTAAATCAACAACAAAAAAACCCTGCAACTAGAGATATTTTTCACTTTAATCTTCTAGATCAGTCCTAACTGTAAACATAAGATTTATAAATCAGAATTTACTGCATATACATGTAGTGTATTTATGACACTAACAGTCTTCTTGTTACACAGACAAGTCTTGTCCAATCATAACCTTTAGATAAAGATGATGTCCTCGTCAAACAAGATAACAATAAACTTATGATGAATACCCTTATCAAAAGTTTTCGTCACGTTGGCAAATATTTTAAGAAGGTTAAAATTCAAGTTGAAGTAACTGATATAACAGTATCTTTAACTTTAAATGGTTAAATCAGGATGTTTGTAAGTTTTAAAGTCTAGTATATCTTATTGTATAATGTAATGATTTTATCTTCTTGATATGGCTATTTGATTGTGATTGTTTATTTTAACTTTTTAATTCAGGTAAGATTGAACATGTTAATAATTCTATTCATATTATATACAATAACTATTTTCACACCTTTTAACGCTGCGGACGCTATCATAAGTTGGTTGACCGTTATGGGATATCTGTATCACAAATAACCACTGATATTTTCAGATTGTCGTAGTTGTTTCTCCATTTTGACATCATTTTTGTACTTAACATGAGCGTCACGGCAGGTGTTACATGTGGAATAAGATGCTTAGTTCAATCCCGTTTTTATTGGTATTGTGTTGCTCCTATTCAAAAGATGTTGAACTAGCTTTCCGTTACTCTCATATTGGTATATTATGTCTGTAGTTGTATGCTACACGTAGTTGTTATTTTGTGCTTCTTCTTAACTATAAATAGCAAAAATGATATGCTTAGCAAGAATAGAACATCAAATAAGCAAACATGGGCAAAATTGGTCAGTCTAAATTTTATAAGAGTTCTCAATGTTGTTGTTCTTAAATGAAGATTTTTACCAATGATTTTTGCGTATTATACGGAAACTATAATAGACAGACAGAAAATGTTTGTGTCCTGTGCAAACACTACTGAAAATAACTGTAATTAGTAATAGAGACTCTAAAGAGCATGTGTCGCTCACCTACCCTTATACTGAAAAAATCAGCCTCCTGCAAATATTTGCTGCAAGTCTGCAGCAAACACAGAGTCTGTATTTGCAGCGTGTTTGCTGCACATGTGCTAAAGGTCTGCTGCAAGCATTACAGTTATGTAAGGGTAGGTCTATGTACATCTTCAGCAGTAGACAAAAATAGATTTCATGACTAAAATCTCTTTCTGCTGATCTTATATAGATATAAGAAAATGTGGTATGATTGCCAATGAGACAGCTCTCCATCCAAGTCACAATTTGTTAAAAGTAAACCATTATAGGTCAAAGTACGGCCTTCAACACGGAGCCTTGGCTCACACCGAACAGCAAACTGTAAAGGGCCCCAAAATGACTAGTGTAAAACAATTCAAACAGAAAAACCAAAGGTCTAATCTATATAAACAACGAGAAACGAGAATCACTTATGAACCACATCAACAAACGACAACCACTGAACAACAGGTGAAGACAGGTGCAATTGTATTGCTGATAATTTTTTTCTGTTTTCTCTCTATCTTCTTTAGTGTTTGCCCAAAACACAAAAGAGGGTACACAAAATCGTCTTGTTAGGGCAACCACACATATAAAGAGTCTACTAACTATTGTCTTGCTGATCATTTTTGTTTTTTTAAAGTTGCTATCGATCATTTAGAGTTTTCAAGATAATAAGCAAAAGCGCCAAAATTTGTTGAAAAATTGTCATTAATCGTCAAACGATTTTGACCATATTGATTTATTGTACAGTAGATCTTTTCTTGATGATCATTTTTGCTACATAAAGTTAGTGTCTATCTATTATAGTTTTAAGGATACACATAACGGACAAAAACTTTTTAAAATGGTAAAAATCGTCATTAAAGAGAATAACTCCAATAACGAGTCGACTGAAGAATTCGGTCGTTAGACTTTTTTGTAGACCTTGTCTCGCTGATCATTGTGGCTTTTTAAAGTTTCTATCTATCTTTTCTTTAGTTTTTAAGATATTTAGCAAAAACGCAAAAAGTGGTAAATATCGTCATTTAAGGGCAATAACTCTTATAAGGAGATTTCAGTTTCTTTTATATATTATGGTTTTCAAGATAATAGACAAAAATAAAACATAATGGTAAAATTTGTCATTTAAGGGCAATAACTCCAATAAGAAGTCGTCTGACAGTTTTTATGTAGATTGAAAGACTGAACATTCTGAACATTTCTGAGAGCCAGATTTTCTCTATTCATAGCGGTTTTCACAATAATAGACAACACTTGCATTTTAACCCTATGTTCTATTTATAGTCATGACGCCATATTGTTTGG